TCACGCAACGGCGGCGGCGGCATCTCCTTCCTGGCACCTGGCGTACAAGACGCCCCCCCCCCACTTGGAGGCATGTTTTTGGGGCTTAAAAAGTCGTCTTGTACGCCGGCAAATACGGTATTTTTCAGTATTGGGAACACCTGGTGACAAAACAGTCCGGTGTCAGAACTTAAGAACACTTAAATCATGTGTTCTAGCCCTGCTGTTAGTTATTCTCTAATGATTCCCGTGAGGGAAATCTCCACTGTTCAAGGACAGAGAAAAACAACTTCATTCAGGCAGCCACCTCAAGTGGTGAACACGGTGAGGTAGTGGTCCCACCACGTCACCTCTTGAGATACCCTGGACATTTCCTTCCCTCTGAGGCCACAATTGTGCGTATGCCTCCTTCAGGTGCAGGGAAGGATACAGTTCTGTCATCAGTGTGCAAGTAACATTCAAATATAAGTCCAGCTTGCTTCTGTTTGTGGAACAGGGGGAGATATTTTCACCTCAGGCAGAAAAATGTTCTGCCGGCCCTGATCATGCCTTCCATCAGTGACTTCCTTAGCAGATAAGGATGGTATCATACAAAAATGTTATCATACAAAAATGTTACTTTAATCACTAAAAGGCCGGTGCAATCCCTCCATTTCATCCTTCTGTTATTTTACCAGGCCTTGCCCAAGCCTTTTGAACCTTCTGCCTGCAGGGCTAGAATTACACTTTTGGAAAAAATGGAAGCAGAAGTTTCACACCAGGCTCAAGCAGGTTTCGGATAATGTTTTTACTATTAATATTTTCAAGTATGTCTTTTTTTAACAGTGTTTTATTTCACACCTTTCAATAATTAACATGTTTAATTTTTCTTAATAATGTGATTTTTAAAGTTTGCAATTGTTTTTAAATTATTTGTATGCTGCCTTGAGTCTCTCAACACAGAGAAAAGTGGGGTAGAAGTTAACTAAATACATACATGCATCTTTAGTTCTGAAGCCTTAAGAGACACATGCTAAATTCTTTCGGTGGCATCATCTCCTGGCTCACCAAACCCTGTACTCACTAATCTTGCCCCAAATCACATCCCACAAGATTCCGTTGTGCAGCTAACCTTGTTAATCTTATTCTTATCAGTTCTGATGGGCTTCTGATCTTCTTCTTCTTCTTCCTCCTCCTCCTCCTCACTCTGCTCCTGATTCAGGGCAGCAAACACGTTTCCGCCCTCATGATGACAAAGAGAGAAAATGCCAATAACAGTCCTGCAGGATGGTGCCCCACTGCCTACCCACCCAAGGCTAAAGTAGAGTCAGGCTCGGTCCCTACCAACATACAGTAATAGAATTCCCACCGTTTTAAATTGCATGATTTACACGGCACAAATATACCTGAATGGATTTTGATTTTCTGATATTTGTATGGACTCATAAGCTATCAACACAGCAACAGAAAGTACGGCGAGAACGCCCGGGTGTCCCCTGGCCAACAGCATAGCAGCTGGCCAACCCTTCACTTCCAGAAGTGTTGCATTGCAGACTTGCTGACGGGCAAAATGACCCCACAGTCCTTTTGATGACCAAAAATGACAATCATTTCTATTACATTTTAATTTGATTTAAATGTTTTCCTATATTTCATATACATCCATAAGTTTTAACGGTGCAATGCTCTGAGACAGATTTTTTAAAAATCACAGCACTTTACAAGATTTTATAGCAAAGGACTAAACATATATATTTTAGTTATAAAAATGTATTTTGCATAGCTATAAAAATATTTTAAATTTAGTCATTTTATATATGTTTGTGAGGGGAAAAATTAAACAGTAGCGGGAAAAAGATTCCAATAAAAGGATGGAACAAAGAGCTCTACATAAGAAAATACATAAATAAGGAGATAGGAAACAGCTCCAAGCCCTACTTTGACCAGTAAAAGCCCATATAAATTAAAGTTTTGTAAAATTTCACAAAAGCTTTGCCAGCGTAACAATGTGAACATTTCTGTTGCTGGGTTAGTTGCGTCCACTGCCTCCCACTCTGAAGGATGTTCTCAAGCCCTTTGCAAAACTGCTCTTCCCCAACAAAAGAAAATTCAAAATGTCCAGGAACTCACCTTCTTTTTCTTACTCGATTTGCTGAGGGAGATAGGCACTGGAAAGAAAATTTAAAAGTTGTGATGGCTTGTGCCAGGACTGACAAAAGGTGAAATCAAAGCTCGGGAAGAAAAAAGACACAGTGGTATGTAGGCATATTTCTGCACCAGACTAGGGCTACTGGATGTGTGTATGTGTGACATTGTGGTTACCAATTTTAGGATGGAAACGGGAGGTCCAGGTTCAGATATCCAACTGGCTATTAATCTCACTTAGTGACTCTAAGGCCCCCCCCCCACTTAAACCTACCTCACAGAGTTAGTGAAAGAAACAAAATGGGGAGGAGGACTATATTCACCACCTCACGTTTTTTTGAAGGCAAGATAGAATATAAGTGAAAGAAACAGATAAATGCAGACATAACATGTGTAGGGCACAAGTTATGGGCTTGCATGTAAACCAGAAGTGGGCAACTTCCAGAAATCTCTAAGGACTGCATATGCCCAGTGCCATACTTTGGATGGCTGCTTCCTTTCCCCCCCCCCTCCGGCAACTCCTCATGCCCCATATTTTAAAGAAACCATATGCTTCAGAGGGCATAAAGGGGGCACTTTGGTCACAACTCTGGATCCCTCTCCCCTTCAACGGAGGCATCCAATAGAAACCGTTTGGATTCAAAAGCAGAAGTGAACAAAACTCACGACCAGTTGTGGGGGTTTTTTGGGGGGGAGGGAAGGCCACCTCCCACCTTAGAACAGCTTGAGAAGGGATGTAGGGAAATGTCTCCCAGCCTTCTAAGTGGAAAAAGTAAGCCAACTTTTAGAAAGGGGGCAAAATATTCTGGAGAGGCAAATATACCAGGATCCAAAATGTCCACAGGTGACCCTATGGATTCCATTTCTCCCACCTCTGCCACAGATCCTATTCCCACAATCCCTGCACTCCAGCCTACCGTTGAGATTTCTGCATACTCAGCGTAAAGGTGCAAAACCAGTGTGGTGTCCGAGAGGCATTTACTGATCTCTTTCCTGAATATTGCACTGAGTGAACAAATTCCAAAGCAGCTCGAGAGATAGAGAGATAGAGAGATAGAGAGATAGATAGACAGACAGACAGACAGACAGGAGACCGAACTGCTTTTGGAATTTGGAATATATATATAATTGGAATACATAGTGTATATATATACAGCTGCTGCTGTGGAATCACTGGTTTCTTTTCACATGCTCAGAAATGGTGCATACAGATGCTGAGGGAGGCTCACAAACAGGGCATGAAACACCAGCCATGCACCCCCAGGTGGCTCCCAGGATTCAACAGAACCTGGCTTCTGATCCCAGAGGCAACCCTGGCATGACCCTTCTTGATGGGCATCTAGACCTAAGATCTTGCTTTCCTTAACACAGAGAACATCCCCGCCCCAGCCACAAACCTTCCTCTTCCTCATCGCTGGCTTGG